TATGTCCCCCCCCCCCCCTCCAACAAAAAAAAAACATGGTCCTTTTTCTAAGTTGGTAAACACGCTCTAATGAACTAACTTTGGTGTTTGGCATTGCAGGAGAAAAATTGTCAAGTAATTTGTCAAAATTTGTGGTGATCATTTGGCTCTTCGTGGTGCTTATACTGACTTCGAGTTATACTGCAACTTTGAGCTCACTCTTGACGGTTCAACAGATTCAATTAGCGTCAAAGGGTGAGTATATAGGGTACCAATCTGGCTCTTTTCTGCAAGGAGTAATTGTAAGCAACTTTAACTTCAAGGACGATAGGCTTGAGCCATATTCTTCACCCGATGAATACGCCAATGCTTTGTCAAAAGGAAGCAAGAGTGGCGGTGTTGATGCCATTTTTGATGAAATTCCGTACATCAAAATCTTCCTTGCAAAGTATTCTGCTGATTATGACATGATCGGATCTGCATCAAAATCAACCACCAATGGTTTTGGCTTTGTGAGTATTCCTCTTTCACCTGCCATTAAGCCATCCATTTACATCTAACTGTAAGAAGTAGGAAAAAATGTAGTTAGTTTCTTATGCATGTTCTTCAATTTACAGGTCTTCCAAAAAGGTTCACCTCTTGTCCCTGAGATATCAAGGGCAATTGCAAAACTGAGGGAGGAAGGAAAGCTTGAAATGATGGAGAAGATATGGTTTAACATTGACTCATCCTTCATGCCTGACAGTCAAAGCTCTGCCTCCGCGACCAATCCCAGCACTCTGAGCCTCGATAGTTTTCGTGGTTTATTTCTCATTAGTGGTATCGCTTCAGCTTTCGCCCTTTTTATATTCTTTGTTTTCTTTCTTAAAGAAAAAATTGGTGTGAAAAATCATATATGGGGGATTTTAGCTCAAGGAAAACTGCTGTTCATGATGAAGTATCTCTTCACCAGAAATGCCGTCATGATTGGAGAAACCAATGCAAGGTAATCAATGTGAGCCACTTAGATTTTTGCTCCTTCCATGACATCATGGGCCTCGTCAATATGTCGTTTCAATCCGTTGGAATTGTAATTCTAGCATGTTTTTTGAGGAGGAATAGTCACTTGAAATAGAAATTGATACGATNGTCAATATGTCGTTTCAATCCGTTGGAATTGTAATTCTAGCATGTTTTTTGAGGAGGAATAGTCACTTGAAATAGAAATTGATACGATTCAAATGCACTTTAATTTCATCCGTTCGCACAAACACAATACAAAATTAACTCAAAAATGACACAACTAATTAATAAAAATAACTAATTACCCATATTGTAAGGGAGAATACTGTTTTAATCTTCATTTTTTTTTTTTTTTTGGATTTTTGAGCTGATAAGTGTAAGATTTGTTTTAGACTAAAATTATTTTTGATTTGGTTTTGTTGGGGTTTGGATTGAGCATATTTTTAATTTATGAAAGGTCAAAGTATGAAGAATTTGGGTGGTAGGGAAAAAAAGTTCTACTATTGTAATTGTTAAATCACGATTTTAAAAATAATAACATCAATCTAAAATNGTCAAAGTATGAAGAATTTGGGTGGTAGGGAAAAAAAGTTCTACTATTGTAATTGTTAAATCACGATTTTAAAAATAATAACATCAATCTAAAATGATACGATTTTAAATTACATCGATTATAATAGTGATGGGTCTTATCGACTCCNTCAATCTAAAATGATACGATTTTAAATTACATCGATTATAATAGTGATGGGTCTTATCGACTCCCACTTGTTATTCCATGAATAACACGATGCTGCGTCATTTTGTACAAGACATTTGGTACATATTTATTTTTAATCAATGGTTCAATAGTTGTTATGAATGTATAAATATGAGAAGTACAACCAAAATTTATAAGTTTTTGATCGGACCGGAGAGTCATCTGNTATTTATTTTTAATCAATGGTTCAATAGTTGTTATGAATGTATAAATATGAGAAGTACAACCAAAATTTATAAGTTTTTGATCGGACCGGAGAGTCATCTGTTTTTGCCCAAATTAAAAAAAGAATTATTTGAGGTACACGTAAAATGGTCCGAATACTTCTGACATTATAACAAAAAAAAAATTATAAGCTTTTAAGTAAAATTTATAAAAGTCAATATTTCCAACATCAACAAAAGATGGCAGAGCTAATCGATGTTGAATTTCAGAAGGCAGGTCTTATTTTCAAAGTTCAAGTGGGTGTTATAGAGACGTTTGAATTTTACACTCACACCTCTCCTAATTTATTATATTTTCAAAAATACCCCCTCTATTATAAAAAATATCACTGACACCCCTTCTAGTTTATATTTGAACATCACTAATATCCCCTACCATTAAACTACCATTTCTAACAAAAAAATTCATCTAAAATACCAAAATGCTACTACATAAATCTCAAGTAATTTTTCTACAAAAAATTTTATCAAAATTCAAACCGATTAAAATTTATTTTTCTACATATTAAAGTTTAAACCAATTAAAATTCGATTGAAACTTTGAAACTGATTAAATATTATTTTTTTTAACGTATTAAAATTCGAGTCTATTAACATTTATTTTTTACTCATTAAAATTTGAGCCGATTTGAAATCTACTCGAGTTGTTAGCGTTGATTAAAATTCGCTTTCGAGTTCGATTAAAATTTAAATTTTTTTACTTATTAAAATTCGTGTCAATTAAAATTTGATTTATTAAATTTTATATTTTTTTATGAATTAAAATTTGTGTTGATTAAAATTCAATGCAAGTTGATTAAAATTTGATTTGAGTCGATTAAAAATAATTTGTAATTGGCTCAAATAGAATTTTAATTAACCCAAATTTTAATACATAAAAAATATAATTTTTAATCAGCTTAAATTTTAATATGTAAAAATAATTTAATTTGCTTGAATCGAATTTTAATACTTAAAAAAAAATTAGAAAACATAAGGGGTCTCATTGAAAAATATGCTTATCTAGAGGGGGTGTGAATGAAGTTTATTCTTAAATATATCAT